GTGCAAGAGGAAAAGGCCTGGTCTCTGCCTCCCAGCAACCTATTATCTAGCTGGGGAGACAAGACACGGACACACATCACATTACAAGGCAATGTGTACTGAAGAGGCTATTTGTCTGCCTGAGGTGGGGCAGCTTGTAGCAGTTTAATGATGAGAGAAAACACCCAGCTGGTTGGGATAAGGTTCATCACTATGTCCCCAGCACCTGCTATACCATGGGTGTTTGATAAGTAAGGTGGGCAGGCTTTAGGAGGCAGCCACGGTGTCGTTATTTCTACCAAAAGCCTTGGTCTTAGCATCAGAGAACTCCTGTTCTGACGCTGCCACTAACCAGTTATGGGAAAGCCATTTCCTATCCTTGGGCCTCAGTTGCCTAAGCCATAAGAATCAACCTCCCAAGAGGACTGCCAGGTACGCACGCGAGAATGTGCACATAAAGGCCACTTTGTACACTATCCAACACTACAGACATGAAAAGAATGATTCTCACTGAGGACACACATAATGTCACTTGATTTGACCCCCAAAACAAGCCATGGAGTTGGTGAATTTCTGTCAACAACTTACAGAAAAGGAAGGCATAGCTCTTTTCCAAGGGAGTCAATGGCTTTGCCTGAGGTTGAAGGATAAGTCACAGAGTAAGTAAGCACAGAGGTTGGGACATGGACCTAAGTGAGTGATGACCAAGTCTGAGCTTTCTCTCCAGTTAGGAAGATTATCACAGAGGATTAGATTCACTGGATGTAAGAGGAAAGTAGCCGTTTTATGGCTGGGGAGACAAGGGTGCATCAACTCCTAGATATTAAGGATCTATCTAAACCCCTTGCAGGGCTTGACCAAGGCAATCCCTGATCCCATGTTTATTTTAAAAAAATACTGAGCATTTTTTTCCATATTAAAATCTTTGCCCACAATACTTTTCACAGCACAGCACCAGGCAACATGACAGGAGGCTGATAGGAGATGATGTTTTACTCTTTGCTCCTAATCTCACTGCTGCTAGAGCCATTATGCCTTTATATGGCAGGGATAGAATCCACTGCTTTGTGGATTTGGAAGGAATTCCCATCATGCTAATTCCAGAACCTGAGGTACATCTGAAAAAGAGGTCAATGTGACTCGATTTTTCCCTCTCTCCTGCCACAGAAGGGTGTCTGCTTTCTCCATAACTTCTGCCGATCTCCACCACCGCCGTTCCGTTGGTTAAGGGGACATTCAAACTGAAGCAAGGGCACCCCATCGGCCAAGGCTTCCCTTGTTATTTGACACAAACCTGACATTTGGCAGAGCAGGAGGATTAGGTTTCCAGCTCTGAGTGCCCAGCTGCCACCCCTGACTGTCACCCGTGCCCTCTGACCAGAAGCAGATTCTGGATGGAGCCAGCCGGCCTCCAGGACTGGCCATAAAGGGAAAGTGGGAAACAGGTTATTGTTGTTGTTTAATGTAAGCTGCATAGCTTTTCCAGAAATGAGTCTATTAAAGTGAATGATTCGCTTTTCTTTATTTGTATTTATTTTTTCCCCATCACCATTTATCCCCCATACCCTCTTCTACCTCCACCCACTCCCCTCTCCACCCCAAACACCACACTGTGGTCGGCGTTGATTCACTTTTCCTCTGAGGCCTTTGCTTTGACTTTTTTCCATGCGGACTCTGGCACTTAATGGCAGGTAAACAGGCAAGCAGCCCCACTTAGGAGCCCACATCTCACACCACCCCTCTCCCCCCACCCCCAGCTGACATGCAAGGGCAGCTGGGTCAGGAGGGAAAGGTCCTTTTGCAAAGAGCAGAGGAGCAACAGTCATGAGACCTGGGTTCTAGTTCATTAACTACAAGGAAAGAGCAGGAAATCAGAGTCCAAAGGCTGGTATTTCTTTCCTGAATCTATTTCCACCAGATATAGGGTCTTGGCTAAGTCACTTCACCACTCTTTGAATCTGTTTACTCATTCATAATAAAAATAATTGACATTTATTGAATATATGGTAGGTGCCGGGCACTGAATTACTTTATATACATTAGCTCCTTTAATTTTGAAAACCTGAATAAGTAGGCGTATAATTTCCATTTAAGAGATGAGCCTGCTGAGACTCAATGAGGCTCAACTTGCTGCTGTTCCACAGCAGGGGAGCTCAGATGTGCACCAGAGCTTATGCCTTTAACCACATCCTAAACCAAGAACCATAAGAATACCTAGCTCTCGGGGACTCTGTGAGGAGGAGGAAATGCTTGAACATGGGCCACAGGTTTTCATGGCAGACAGCAGGACCTGACGAAAGATCATTTTTGCAGTATTTGCTTGCTTGCCTGGTCTTTCTCAGAACCACAGGAAAGCACTATCCAAACCTATGTTGCTCATGTTGCATGGGATGGGGCGGCAATGATATTGCTTATCCTACAACCAAGACCACAGCACATGACTATTTCAAGGAAACCAGGGCGGCCAGGGAGCATTTATAATTTAAACATTGACATGACATGAAGAGACAGGCCAGTCACAATGAAGCTCTTAAAAGCGGAGTGTTCATGGAAATGCTAGCATCTGTAAGGTGGAAGGGACAGTCTTGGCAAACAGCAGGAAAGAGCTGCTGCCCAGGAGATTTGCTGGAGGAAGCATGGATCTTGCAGAAGCTGCTTTAGCTCCCTGTGTTCACCTGGCCTGCTGCTACAAGGTGCATGCCCACGAATGACAGCATTTGATTCTTAGGGAAATCCCCACGAGGGAATTCAAACACCACTCTCATTTTACAGATGAAGAAAAAGGGGGCTAGGGAAACCAGAGATTCGCCTCATTCACATAGTCAGTGGGTGCCGGGGCCTCTGAAGATCTCTTTCCACTGTGCTGTGTCCGGGAGCATCTCACTAGGCCACCCCGTCATAATCACATGGAAGGAGAGCCAAGAGCACCGGAGGACAGCCCTGACCCTGCGCTATTCTTATCATAACCGCTCCCTGGTTACAGTCGGCCTCCTAAAAGCATTCAATTAACTGATCCTCTAAGAGTCAAAAACACCTGTTCAAGCCTTGATACAATTATTTGCCGCCTGTGACAAACATCTTTTCCAGGAAAAGCCATTCTTCCTTGAGAACTCAACCCCACAGTCAATTATGAACAAATAGTAAAATCAGATTTTAAATTCTTCGTTTTCTGAACACAAAGATCCTTAAGTCCACCTTTTAAGAAACTACTGCAGTTGCCAAATGGACTGTTTTTCTTTTAAAGGTTGGAAAGAATTCTACTAGCCTCCCTTCCCCCTCCCCAATTTCAAACTGTTGATTGTGTGCCTGGTTTACGATGTTATTAAAAAACAAAGAGGGGTCTCAAAGTTTACAACCAACCCCCAGAGTAGGGAAGTCAAAAGAAAAACTTTATGAAATGTGGTTCATGTACCATCAGCAGCTTACATTGGATCCAAAGTAGGCAAGATTAGCCAACTGCCTATCCCCTTGAGCAGTTCATCTGGAATAGACAACCTCCATTCCGAAATCAAGTCTGCAAGATGGAAAGAGGGCTTTGAAATAAGCCAGGGATAGGTATAAACCCCAACTTGTATGAGCTGTAGACTTTGAGCTCATCATTAGACTTTCTGATTTTCCATTTGTATAATGGGGATAATAGCACTTATTCCACATGGAGTATTCTTAATACTAACTTCCTTTTTCTTGGTTTGCTCAAACAGGCCAAAGATAAGCTTCCAGGCTATGGCTTAGGCACAGATGACTCAAGGATCTGTGAGAAAGAATTTATGATCTTGGCGGACATGATGTTTATTTATGGGTTTCATCCACATGGCTAAGGTTCAGGAGCAAAGAACAAACTTAGAGGAATACTGGAGATGTGGAATGGACAGCTGTGAAAAATGTATGACTCACAAATTATAAGACTGGGTCACCATCAATTACTCTTTCCCTCCCCTGCCCCAACTGGAGAGATCTAAAACTCGGTGGTCACCTTCCAAGTAGAGCCCAAATAGGCCATACCCCAAATTCCATGAAGCTACCATTGCTCAAGATAATTGTTAAATCTTGTTCGAGTCTGATGGCACATCTCTGCATCCTCAATGAGAACTTTGTCCTCCACGGGACAATCCAGATGTAAGTCTGGACTTTACACCTGCCTATGAGTAACCTGCTCAGCAGTTAAGAGTTTGCAAAGTGTTTCAATATTCATGGTCTCTTTTACCCCTCCATGTTATGCTATGAAGCAAGATGCTCATCCTTGGTTTTAAAGGTGTAGCTCGTGGGTAGAGGGCCAGGTCTAGAACTGAGGTCTCTAGATTCCAAGTCTCATCTTATTTTCACCCTGATACCACAGCCACTGGATGAGAGAACTGAACAATATGTCAGAGAATGCCAGCGGCATTGTCACTGTGATGATACGGAAGGAACCCAGAAAATGCCTGTGTTATCCGACAAGGCATTTCCCCCTCCTCTGAGAATCAGAGCTCAGACTCTGGGGTAAAGGACAATTAGGTTAAAATGCCAACCCTACCACTTATTAACCAAGTGATCTTGGGCAAATTACTTTTACTCTGTGGAACCTCAGTTTCTTAATATGTAGGAGAAAGATAAGAACAATATCTAGACTTCATTGGATTGTTGTGAGGATGCTGCATGCAAAGTATTTTAGCAGGGTGTTTAGCATACTTTTACAATACTTTTAGTATACAGTAAGTCCTCACCATAGGCTCTGTGATTTTGAGCAAAATGACATATAACAAATTTTACCACAGGCTCATTGATGTAAATAAGAATTAATTCCTATGGCATCTCACCAATGCTATAATGAAAAGACACTGAATGAAATTGTTATTGGAAGAGCTGCTGCATATGTATGTGTGTATGTATTTAGTATTTTAAAATACCTTTAATAATGGTATTAACTGCATTAAAGAAACAGTGTTAATCAAGTGAAATTCTGATTGATCTGCCAAGTCTCTGCTGACGCAGATATTCTACAGGGAAGTAAAGACGGTGAGCACAGCACTCTGGGCACTTACCGCGAGGATGGCGATGACGATCCCCACGGCGCAGAGCACAGCATCGTTTATTGTCTCACCAGTTTTCAGGGGATACTTGATGCTGTCATCGTTGCAGTAGAACCCTCGGTGGTAAGGCTTGATGGTGCTGGTCTCAATGATCAGGAAGGGCAGGCCCGCTGGTCAGGATGGAACCATCGCACATACCAGAAAAAAAAAAAAAAAACAAAACGAGGGGAAAACATCAGTGCAATGTGGTCAAAAATGACTACAGCAGCCCTAGCTGGTTTGGCCCAATGGATAGAGTATCGCCCTGCAGAATGAAGGGTTCCGTGTTCTATTCCAGTCAAGGCTATATGCCGGGTTGCAGACTTAATCCCCAGTAGGGGGCGTGCAGGAGGCAGCCGATTAATGATTCTCATCATTGATGTTTCTCTCTTTCTCTCCCTCTCTTCCTCTTTGAAATCAATACAAATATAAAAAAAAAAAAGAATGACTACATCAAAGACCACCCCAAATGACAACACTGACAGTGATATTAACTCCTTGGAACTTCCACGCCACATATCCCCTCTCCTCCTTTCCTTACCCCTCGTGTCTAAGGGCACAGGGGAAGGCAGTGGGAGAGCCAGAGCAGCGTGTCCCCACTGCTCTACAGCATCCTGCTAACAGTTAACCCCAAATTTGTAATAATGACTAACACAGCCCCACATCTAATGATGTGTCATTATGCCTTCAAGTACATTCTTCTCTCATCTTAACCATTTCCCCTTTGAGAAGTGCATCCTAAGGTTGTGGAGCATGGAGTAGTGAAGGCCTGAGGTCAGATACCTTGAATTTGAATCCCAGATCCACCACTTCCCAGTAGTAGGACTTCTGGTTCTCACGCTACCTTCCTGGGCCTCAGTTTGCCCATATGTCAAAGGCCTGGGGTGATGACTAAGGGAGAGAAAAGCACAGGGAATTGCTAGCACAGTGCCTGGCACACAGTAGCTGTTCAATGAATACCATTTTCTGTCTTTTTCTTTCAAAGAGTCATTGAGAAGCTGGAGCAGAGCTGAGCTGGCCCCACTGCCTGCGGACCTGGAGCAGCGCCCAAGGGCACCTGAGAGCGCCAAGCTGCTAGTGCAGCTGCTGCGGGTTTAATCAGTGGCCAGCTCAGATGCCATTCTCTTAAAGGTCATGGCAAATGGATGCCATCACTTGCCAGGAAAAAAGTTCCCAATAGCCCTAAAGTAAAGGGTGAAAGGTCACAATATTTCTTGCCTCAACACAGCAACTGCCTCTAAATCAGTCTCCTGGCCTTCACTGCCTCTTACACACAGCCACCAGTTTACTTCCTGACCATGACATTGCCTTGCTAAAGCCTCTTCAGAGCTTCCTCATTGCACAGTTCCTCATTGCACAGGGCCTGCAGTTACCCATGACCTGAGCCTCCCTCTCCAGACTCAGGGTCTCCAGCCCCACTCCCATCCTACAAGGAAACTATACTCAGAGACTCTTATCCTGGTGCAGGCTCTTTTCTGAGACCCAAAGACCTATTTCTCCCCTAGCACCCAAGTTCAACACCAAGCACCAATGCCACCCCACAATGTAAAAGGTAAGTCACTGAATGTCAGGACTAGGGAAGATCACAAAAAACAGCGGGTTAATGGCCACAGACACCGCTGATGTGCACCTACAATGTGTAAGGTACTTAACATCCATTTTTGCATCGAATCTTTCAACAACCCTGAGAGGTCATTTTAAAGCATCATTTAAGCATGACTATCGCTCATTTTCAAGTGGGAAAGAAGAGATTCAGAGAGACTATTTAGCTCACTCAGCATCTCTTAGCCCATCCCCAAATGCCTAAATTCAAAATTTTACTTTGCAAATTGGATTTATCCCAATGTGAATTTCATTAGCTAAAAAAAAAATCCCAAGATAAGCTGTTGTTGAAAAGATAAAATTCCATTTTAATGTTTTTCAAAAAGAATAAAATTCATGTCATGCTGCTCAAGGGCCTAGACCAGGGGTGGGCAAACTTTTTGACTCGAGGGCCACAATGGGTTCTTAAACTGGACCGGAGGGCCAGAACAAAAGCATGGATGGAGTGTTTGTGTGAACTAATATAAATTCAAAGTAAACATCATTACATAAAAGGGTACGGTCTCTTTTTTTTTTAGTTTTATTCATTTCAAACGGGCTGGATCCGGCCCGCGGGCCGTAGTTTGCCCACGGCTGGCCTAGACCATCTCTTCAAAAAAAAAAGAATGTACCATGAACTCCACAATTTTTCAATTACTTCAGTCCAGACCGGCAGCGATAAAAATGCTCACTTTCTAAAAAGTGTATTTATGTATCACTGTGCATACACGCATGGATTTATTTGGTTTTATTCTTTGGATTTATTTGAATTCTACGGCTATTTATTTTGTGACCCCTAACTGCTTCCTGCTAGAACAACAATTTACTTTATCAAATTCATACTAGAGCTTTGAAAAGAAAGAACAGCAACACACCACAGCATTGTGCCTGACCTTCTCAAAGTCAACACAGAGGGGCCCTGAAGGCAATAACCATCAGCCCTTGAAACTCAGTCTGGGCAAAGGAGTAAAGGGGGCAAGGGAGGCGGCAGATAAACATGCTGGCTTAGAAATGGCAACAGCAATTAGCTGATCTTTTGGGGTTGGGGGGCTGGGAGGGAAAGCTATCACATGGGCTTGAGCCATCTTCATTCCACTGCCTAAACATTTTGAAATGTGACCAACTTGGCTATGAAAAGTCGCTGAGAAGCCAGCGGTATGATATTAATAGTCCACTTTTAAGTCCCACCCATCGTGATAAAATCATCCAGCGTGGTGTCTGTGCACAGCCGCAGCCGCTGTGGTGCCTGGGAGCCCAAACGTTGCTAATAAACTCAGGTAGGGAACAGACCCTGAGTTCCCTAAGTGTGTGCTTCCCCCTCAGGCCCCCAACTTCTATTTTTAATGGCGTTCACATGATAGGCCTGTAAAACATATGTTTCTAAGGACAATAAAACACATATAAAAGGGCTGTGGAGTGAGACAGAATGGGGTTAATGATCTCAACTCTGCTGCCTTCTACTTGAACAAGCTATTTCACATCTCCAAAAGCCCTGCTCATCTGTTCAATGGGAGAATGAAATCTAGCTTTGGGATAGCTGGGATGATGGTAATGTAGTCATTCATTCATTCATTTATACAAATATTTATTGAGTCTTTACTATGTATACTAACTACAAGAAATACAAAGATGACACAAGCCCTGCCCTCAGGGAGCTTACGATCCAAAAGGGGAAGGCACATCTGCCCAATTAAAATCAGAATGGGATGTTGCTTCAGTTGGAAGGCGCCAGGCCACAGCATTGGTAATGTGAGCACAGTCTGGCACATGCTATGGACCCTCAGTAAATGTTAAAAGGAAGAAGGGGAAACGTCCCACAGAGAAGGTTAGGAAAGAAAATGTCTGGTCAGTGCCTTTGCCCTCCTAACCTGGGAGCAATCCAAACCCTTTCTTCCTCCCTTGTTCAAGGCTTGGGAGGGTTTCCGGTTCTGATTATGTAGAGGATGACCACAAACAGACAAGAAGTTGGATCTGAATATGTCCTGTTTGTATTCTTGAAAGGCATTGAAACAGCATTGAGAAAACCCAATGGCTTTTTTTTGTCTCCCCTACCAACTGTGGTCTGAGTGGGGGGTGATGCCAGTCAAATCTTTGTTCCAGGAAGAGAGTACCCTCAGATTTCTTCAGTGGATGGGAAAAGCATAAACACTTTCCCCAATGGGGCGGCTAGTTCTCAAGAGATATAGCACCCTGCCTTCCCTCTCCAGGACATAGAGAAAAGTCTAGTTCTTTTTCCCCCAAAGCAGGGTCTCCATTTCCAACTTGGCACCACCTTTTCTACCAGCCACTATAGTGCCTGATCATTTCATTTCAAGAAAATTCCCATTACTAGCCACTAGGAATCTAAAGATGAATACATCACAGGACTTGTCCTCAAGAGGTTCATGGTATTGTAAGAAAGACACAAAAACAAGTGCACTAAAAAATTCCTAATGTGTGACTGACATGTAGACTACAGTGAGGACACAAAAGACTACTCTGCTACGGATACTAAAGATGGCCCATGGCTGACGGGAGGCTTGAGTTGACCTTATATGAGCAAGAGATTTCTGGGGTCCAGAGGCTAAGTGCACTCGTGAGAACTCAGTGTAGTTTAGGGATTCCAATAAGGCAATCAAGAAAACCGATGGCCATCATAAAAATACAATTTTAAATTTGGTTACACAGCTGGAAGAGATACATCAGTAAACACTGAAAGGAAGAAAGGGAAAAATAGCATGAAGAACAGTAATAATAGCTAACAGTGAATAAACTACTATTACTGCCCTCACTGTGCTGAGGACCGTCACATAAACACTGAAGTCTGACAAACCTTGCTGCCTATAATGTTCTAGGTACTGATGGGGCTGCTGAGATGAAGGAATTTACATCCCAGCCGTCAGGTAGACCACGAGCTAATGGGAGAAACAGTTATGAAAACGAACACATTAGGGCCCTGGCTGGGTAGTTCAGTTGGTTCGATAGAGTACTGTCCCGATAGGCCAAGGTTGTGGGTTTGATCCCCGGTCAGGGAAGATACAAGAATCAACCAATGAATGCATAAATAAGCGGAACAACAAATCTCTTCCTCTCTCTCTCAAAACAAAAAGACAAACAAACAAAAAACTAATATATTAGTAGTCATCTCCAAATGGTAAATTACGGATACTTCTGCTTTTTATTGTTCCTGTTGGATGTATTTTCTAAATGTTTTTAATAAATGCACATTTGCTTTCAAGTAAAAAAGATATTTCTAAAGAAAAAAAAAACTAACACGTTAAGTCACCTTAAGGTTCAAAGGGATTAAAGTGACTTAGCAGCCACTGTGCAAGTACATAGTGGGGTTGGACAGGGCTCAAATGATCTGACTCCTAAGTGCTTTCTAAAGCAAGTGAGTCACTTAAAACAGAAGGAAGCACCTATGAGTATTAATAAGTTAAATAAAACTCAGCAAACCTTCTGACCTTTGAAGAAAAATAATGGTTTGTTTGGAACAGTCAAGGCCACAGCACTGGATACTGCCCACTGAACATTCACCATGTACCCCATGTGCTCAAGATCTAATTTAATT